AATGCTTTCTAGTAGTCTGAAAATAAGATTTTAATGATAATAAAGTACCACTGTTGAGATATATCATTAATTATTTCTCATGTTTGGTGATCATTTACTTTCCCATTTTTGTTATTTATAAATAATATTGTTTGGGCATTTCTTACTTACATCATTATTTGCAAATTTCTATATTTTGGAAAAGGAATAGATTTCTTAATGATTATGTCTACTTAGACTATTAGAAATGGATAACAGTACTTCCTATTTTGTTTTTATTCATATTACCTTAAAAAATTGCAAATTAGAAGATAAAGAACTTTTAAAAATCTTTTTGTCATAAAAGTAGTTCTTCTATTTTGTAAATGGTTTGTTTCAACTGTGAGCCTACTTTATCACTAGTTATGAAAGAAATTAGAAACTCCTGAGAACATCCAGAACCTTATGTAGTCATGAATCTGAGAAACTGAGGAACACACTGATTTATCCTAAGCTAAAGGCAAATTCTTGACTCTTGCCAATGTTCTAATGGTTAAGATTTTTTTTTTGGTTAAGATTGTTAGTCATGACGTAGTTTGATAAAATGAATGTCATTGTTTCACATGGAGAGAATACATTTCCAGTGAACTTTTGCAAGCTGGAAAGAAATTGTAACTAAAAACAGTTATCTAACAGCTTCTCAATCACTGTGGCACATAGAAAGTACTGACTACATATTTGTTGAATAGGTGAATAAACAAAGAAAAGTCACATAAAATCTGAAGACTCATGAGAAAAAATGATTGTGGACATAGCGTAGTGGTTTACTGTGTTCAAGACAGAAATTACAGTTAGTGTCTAGAGCTTTTATTGTAAGGCCCTGACAATTTGACTTACTCTAATAGATACACTCATTTTTTTAAAATGAGGATATTGCCCCCCCCCACTTCCAAGAATTTGATAAAGCTAAGTAGTACTAAAAGTATGCTGAGATTCTTAGATGAATTTTTTTTTTTCAGACAGGGTTTCGCTATGAAGTTTGGGCTGGCATTGTGCAGTCCCCAGGCTGCTCTCAAAACTTGTAGAGATTCCCCCTGGCTCAACCTTGCCAGTGCTGGGATTACAGGGTGCGCTACCACACCCACTTCTAGGGGAAGACTTGTGCTCTGGGCATCTGGGCCCAAGATGGCCTGCCCTGACCTCCAGGGCTTTAGACAGCACTGACTGGCATGAGATCTGGGGCCGTGACTTCGCGCCTGGGTGTGCGGGGCTGTGCATTGAACTCGGGTCCTTGTGCTTGTCATGTAGGAGCTATCTCTCTGGCCAGTCTTAGATGAATTTTAAATTTACAAAAATATATTGACATTGTGGTTTTTATTTACTAACCTATATAATAGTGTTTTTTTTTTTCAGTGCCTTAAAATGGTATCCCTGGGCTGGGGAGATGGCTCAGTGGAATAAGCGCTTCCCTGGCAAGCACAAGGGTCTGAGTGCAATCCCCAGATCTGCCAATAAATAAATAAATAAACAAACAAACCAAGATGGTGTCCCTTCAACTCAAAGATACAAAATTTTCAAGTTGCTCATATATTACAAGTCATTAATTCCTGAGTGTAAGATTACCATAAAAGGTAAAGGAAGAAGTTAAAAATATATAATTCGGAAAAATGCATAATTCAAGAAAACCTGCGTTTGATAAATGACGAGGAGCAACTGGGTAATAGGTAAATAAGAGGATTTTTTTTTCAGGAAGTCATTATTCTAGTACCTTGGAAATTGCATGTACTGCAAATGTACTAATGAAAAGATAATAGATAGCTAAAAGAATAAATCATTATCTTCGGATTAATTCCCTGTGCTACTTGTAAAGCAATGAAAATTGCATCATTAATAGTACAAAACAGTGGAAATTTATAAAAGAAAATCCATAGATTTCAAGACCAAAAATAAGCACAAGTCCATGTAATGAATACTACAAAATGTTCCTATGCTTATATGCATGAACCCATAAAAAATAAAACAACACATAGAGGAGCATAGTAACAAGAATAGCTAATACATATATTAAAATGATCTTGCTGATAAGGACAGAAATAATGAGTGGGCATGGTGGCACATGCCTGTAATCCCAGAATCCAGGAGACTCAGGCAGGAGGATGCCTGTGAGTTCAAAGCCAGCCTGTGCTACAAAATGAGACCCTGTCTTAAATATTTATAGAAGTACTAGTAAAGTTGTTGTAAGATGAACTCTTGTTTTTGTTTTGTGAACTCTTGTTTTTGTTTTTTGGTGCTGGAGATTGAACCTAGGGCCTTATACTTGCTAGGCAAGTGTTGTGACCCTGAGATTTACACACAGCTTGAGATAAACATTTTTATAAAATTTTAGAAAGGGCTGGAGAGATGGCTCAGTGGTCTAAAGCACCTACTTAGAACAAGCTTAGCAAAAGCATCAGGGACCACGGTTCAATCCCCCAGCACCACATGCCAGCCAGCCCGCCCCCTGGTGGGCTGAGCTGGCCTCTCTCTCTCTCTCTCTCTCTCTCTCTCTCTCTCTCTCTCTCTCTCTCTCAAATAAATAAAAAAAAAATAAAATTTTAGAAAGTATTTGATGAGTCCGTGCAAGTAGTGCACACCGGTAACCCTGACTCTTAAAGAGACTGAGGCAAAAAGATGACACGATTGAGCTCAGCTTGGCACCTTTGTAACACCTTGTTTAAAAAACAAAAAGGGCTGGGGATTTAGCTCGGTGTGAAGGCTTGCGGTTTAATCCCCAGTATTGCATGTGCACACATACACACAGACACACAACATAAAAAAAAGGAAGTATCTGACTACCAAGACCCTTGGAAGTTTTTATATTTTTGATGTACTATTTAACTGTAAATCCTTACAGAATTTATATTTGGATAAATAATTACAAAAAGTTCATCACAGTATTAATATGTAATAAAAGATGGAAACAGCTTATACTCTCTGCTGTTGGGGGAAGTTAAATATGTTATAATACATTCAACAGATAGAATATTATAGATGTATTAAAATGTTTTCAAGTCATACACAGTTGAGCATCCCAAATCCAGAAGTCCAAAAATCTGAAATTTTTTGAATGCCAACTTGGTTGCCTATTTTGACTGTATTTTATTGATTATAGTCAGAATTCATTTTCACAAAAAATACTATATAAAATTACCTTCAGGTTTTGTGTATAAGGTGCAAATGAAACATACCTGAATTTTGTATTTGGATCTGGGTCTCATCCTAAAGGTGTCTCATGTGTTTGCACATATTCCAAAGTCCAAAAAAACTCCTGTAGATATTACAAGTCATTAACTTCTGAATGTAAGATTACTAGAAAAAGTAAAGAAAGAATTAAAAAAGTACATAATTGAAGAAAACCTTAATTTGATGAGTGATGAAGAACAACCGGGTAGTAGGTAAATAAGAGGATTTTTTTTCAGGAAGTCATTATTTTAGTAGCCTGTAAATTGCATATACTAATGAGGAAAAGATAATAGAAAGCTAAAAATAATAAAAAGTCGTTATCTTCAGATTAATTCCCGGTACTACTGATAAGCAATGAAAATTATATCATTAACAGTACAAAAGTAGTACTCCAGATGCAGAACTTAAGAAACTGTTCATTATATATTAAATTATAGAGGAGGATACTAAAATAAATATACAGAGAATGATTGCCTATTCTTTAAAAATAGTATTCTCATGGAAAAAACACCAGACCAAAGTATTAAGGGTTATTTATTACTGAATAATAGAATTATTGGTCATTCTCATCATACTCACCTTGCTCATTCTAGCATTTCTTCAAAGAACAAGTATAATATTAATGTGTAAGTTAAATATATGAACTGTGTTTTGAGCTTAAAGCTGGGTTAGAGTTGGAGTTAAGTTTAGGCTTAGAAAACCTGGAATTTTCATTAGAATTAGATTATTACATCAGTTTTTGGAAAATTGTGATCTTCAAGTGTTTCCCCTTGAAATGTTTCTTGAAATCTTTAATTTCGCTATAATATCTTTTTAAATTTTCAGTATACAGATCTTCTAAATTTTGTGGTGGAAAAAAAAAAGTTTAGGCTTAGAGTCAGGGTTTGGTGATTTTTCTCTGCCCTGAAATAGCTCCTCTCATCCTTTAAATTTTTTTCTTTTTCTTTTCTTTTCTTTTTTTTTTTTTTTTTTTTGTGGTACCAGGGATTGAACTCAGGACCTTGTGCTTGCCAAGCAAGTGCTTATTCTACTGAGCTTTTTTTTTCTTTTTGTCTTTTTAGGACAGGGTCTCACTGTGTAGATGGGACTCTTAGTGTTCCTCCTGTTTACAGCCTCCCAAGTGCTGGGACTACAGGCGCGTGCCAGCATGCCCATTCCTCATCCTTTCATTTAACGGTAGCTGCCATGTATTGAGTACTTCTCATATGTGCTAAGTTCGCTATAATTATGTAATCTTCACAGCAACTCCGTTTTAGAGTTGAGACCATAGGCTAGGAGAGGCTAGGCTTTGCTTAAGATCAAATAGCTAGGAAATGACAGAGTGGGGATTTGAATGTTGTCTGGCACTGGATCTTACTCAGCCACTATGCTATATATATCTTTTGGGTCCAGAAAATATAGCTTAGTGGCACAAGTGCCTGCTAGGCATGTGCAAGGTCCCGAGTTCAATTCCCAGTACCAAAATAAAGAATAAATAAATGCATGTATCTTTTAAAACTAGGAAATTGGAGAGTGCTACGGGAGTAGAAAGGATAATGTCATGAAGCCTGTGTGCCCATCTCCCAGGTTCAGTTGTTCTCAGGTGGTCATGCTTCATACCTCAAATTCACTGCCCAGTCCCGTATTGTTTTGCTACAAATCCCAGGCACATGCGTTTTATTCATGAATATTATATTCCTTAAAGGCAATGATAACAGCTTTTACAAAATAATACGCATTTCTCACAAATGTCATGGATTGATGAGAATAATATTAGTATCTTCAAATGTGTGCATTTTGTTGTTTTACGTTCCGCTGTCTTTTATATTGTGTTTTTGAAGGTGGAACCTAACTTCCTGTGGAACCAGTGTGGCCAGCTCCGAGTGCAGTGAGGAGCTCTTCTCATCCGTTTCTGTGGGCGATCAAGACGACTGCTATTCTCTGTTAGATGATCAAGAGTTCACATCTTTTGATTTGTTCCCTGAGGGCAGTGTCTGCAGTGACGTCTCTTCTTCTATAAGTACTTACTGGGATTGGTCAGATAGCGAATTTGAATGGCAGGTAGGTTCTTTGATGGACATCATTACTGTATAATATTTGTTTTATATTTGGTCTCAACGAAGTTTTCCTAGTGTCTCTAGACTTGGAGATTTTTTAACAATGTTTTTTTTAAAGTTTATTTGTGTGTGTGTGGTGGGGAGGGAAGCTCAGCCAGGGGGCGGGGCTGGCTGGCATATGGTGCTGGGGGATTGAACCACGGTCCCTGTGCTTTGCTACAGCTTGTTCTAAGTAGGTGCTTTAGACCACTGAGCCATCTCACCAGCCCCACAATAAGTCCTAATGTTAATAATTAGATGAAATGTGTATTAGGAAAGATAGAGTACCTTTTAGGCTTCTGGTGCTGCACATGTCCTTTTGTCTATTTTTTTTTTTTTGGTGGAACTGGGGATTGAACTCAGGCCCTTGTGCTTGCCAGGGAAGTGCTTATTCCACTGAGTCATCTCCCCAACCCTGATGTGTCTATTCTCCCTATTTTGTAATAAATAGCCTTTATATCCTTAATAGGACACATATTTGGATCCTGTTACATATATAATACCATAAAACACTATTACCCTGAACATATCATTTTGGATTTTGCTATCAGAATCGCAGTAGTCTCTTATTTTGTATTCACTTTGTATGTAGAGATGCTTTTGCGTGATGCTTTTCTCATACCGTATATATCATGTGAGATATTCTTGTGGCAAATTGTTTGAAAATGCTGTACTGTAATGAGTGTTAGTGGAAAATGTACATCATGTTTTTGTGACATCTACTTTCTGGTTGTAAAATGCAGTAATACTTAACAGAAGTTTTTCTTTCTTTTCTTTCTTTTTTTTTGTAGAACCAGGGATTGAACTCAGGCCCTTATGTTTGCCAGGCAAGCGCTGCTCTACTGAGCCATCTCCCCGGCCCCCCAGAAGCTTTCTATACAGCAAATGTTTTATCCAGCAGCTAAACTTAAATACTTAACTATGTTTGAAAGTCATGAAACTTTCAAATTGTACTAAGAAAGAATCAAATATTAGTGTCATTCTTGTTAAAGTATCAAATTTCTATTTTTATTAAAGTAGCATTACTGAATAGCATGAAATTTAAACTAAAGTTTCCAAAACCACTGTACTGGGCTATCCACTGTTAAGAGGTTCTCAGCTATAAGTATGTTTGTGTATACAAATATGATCCTACTTCATTCACCGTATGGCCCTGTGCTTTTTTCTTTTTTTTGGTAGAACCAGGGATTGAACTCAGGCCCTTGCACTTGCCAGGGAAGCACTTACTCCACTGAGCCATCTCCCCGGCCCCCCTTTGCTTTTTTCAACTAATAAGAGCTCAGTTTTTATACTTGCATCATAGTTTATGTAAGTGATTTCCCATAATGGGGTTTTATGTTGGTTTCATTTTTTGTTATGAACAATGCTACACTGAAAATAAAGTCTTTAAAAAAAAAACTCAGGGACTTGGAGATGGCTCAGTAGAATAAGTGCTCCCTGGCAAGCGCAAGGACCTGAGTTCAATCCCTAGTTCTGCGAAAAAGAAAAAAATCACAATCCTCTATTTTTATGTTTTGTACTATTTCAACTTTTATGTTATATATATTTATAAATGCAGTTTGAATGAAATTTTGTGATTTTTTGAAGTAAAATTTACCATCTTGGGCATCATAAAATTTACAATTCAGAGATTAAGACAGTAATAGTGTTGTGTAAATCTCATATTTATCTCATTCCAAAAGGATCCTATACAGGTAGACCTTTTTCCCTTCTGCCCTTGTCACCTGGCAACAGCCAGTCTACTGTCTCTGCATTTTGCCTTCTGGATGTTTTATGTAAATGGACTCATAATATGTAGGCCTTTGTGTCTTGCTTCTCTCTCTTTCCATAATTTATTTTTAAGATTTATCCATAATGTAGTTACTTCATTACTATCTATGGCGGAATTAAATTTCGTTCTGTGACTAATACTACATTTTGTTTATCTAATCATGAGCTGATGGACATTATATAATTTTCACTTTAAGAATTTTTATTTTACTTTCGGAGTTTTTAATGTTTTGGATTTTCATATACCTGTTTGCATATGGATGCATATTTTTAATTCTCTTGAATGTATCCCTGGAGTGGAATTGTAGGTCATATGATAACTGTTACAGTTAATTTTTTGAGGAACTGCCAATGTGTTTTCCAAAATGGCTGCACCATTTTACAATTTTTCCAGCAATGTATAAAAGTTTTTATTTCTTTGCATCCTTGCTTTAACTTTATGATTATAGCTATCCTCCTGGGTTTGAAGTACTAGTTATCTGTCTCACTGTAATTTTGGTTTATAGTTCTTTTATGACTAATGGGGTTGAATATCTTCTCGTGCTTATTGGCAATTTGTATATCTAAATTAAATAAGCAGCTATTTAAATCCTTTGCCTACTTTGTAATTATGTTCTTTTTATTGTAAGCAGTCTTTCCATATTCTGTCTATTAACCCCTTTTCAGATACATGATTTAAAAAATCCATTTTCCCATTCCATGGATTATCTTTTCACTTGAAAGTGTCTTTTAACTTCCAAATGTTTTTCATCTTGAAAAGTCCAGTGTATCTACTTTCTCTTTGTAGTGCTTATGATATTGTAATTCAGCTAACATTGTTTAATGCAGGATCTTGAAGATTTTCACCTATTTCCTTCTCAGTGTTTAGTTCTCACATTTAGCTCTTGATGTAGTTTGAATTACTTTTTGTTTACAATGTGAGATGACTGGTACAGATTTGTTCCTTTGAGAGTGGATTTCCAGTTGTTGCAGCAGCATTTATTGAAAGACTTGTTCCTCATTGAATAGTCTTGGCACCTTGTTGAATATGGTTTTAGTTTTGAACTGTCAGTTCTGTCTCTTAATATATGTATTCTTCCTTATGCCATTGTAATACTTTTATTGTAGTTTTGTAGTAAATTGTGAAATTGGAAAGAATGAATTTGCCTTCTTTGTTTTTCCTTATAAAGATTTTTGGAGCTTGGAGACAGTCTCTTGCAATTCCATATGAATTTTAGATTAGATTGTTCACTTCTGCAAAAAAAGAATAAAAGCAGTTGGAATTTTGATGGAAATTGCAATAGATGGGCGGGGGGAGATAGCTCAGAGGTGTGAACACATGAGTTCCATCCCAGGTACCAAAAAAAAAATTTGAAACTGTGAATTGCTTTGGGAAATATGCCATTTTAATATTAGATACTCCACGCAAATGAGATGGATAAGCTTTATGTATTTTTAATTTCAGTAATATTTTGCATTTTTCAATGTCAAAGGCTTTTTTCTTCCATTTTATCCAGAGAAATGAGTAAATTTCTATCTATCAATAGAATTAGCAATGTTGCAATGATTAAATTTCATGTATTTAACCATCTTGTGTTCCTGGAATAAGTCCTAACTGGTCATGGTATTTAACCCTCCTGTTTTATAGCATTTTTTAAAGGAATTTTGCATCTATATTTACAAGGGATATTGGTTGCTAGCTGTTTTGTATCTTTGCCTGGCTTTGGTATCATAGTAATAGTGGCCTCAAAGAGTTAGGAAGTGTTCCTTTTGTAGATACAATTTTGTAATAGAAATTTATGATCTGCATAATACATTTCAACGATTGCATAATATTCCTGCTATTGGAAGTGCCAGCACTTGGGAAAATAATCTCTTTACATCCATTTCAAGCATTTTTCTATTCTAGTTAACAACAGTGATTATTTTTGTGGGGGCACCTTTTTATTCTTTAGTACGTTATTTTTGTAAGTACATGTTGAAATCAGATTATGTGAATTCTTAGTGTAATCCAGTCCTGATGATTCTGAGAAATACTGTACTTTTTGGTGTGTTGAACATTATTTAGAGTTCTTTATTGTTGCAACATGGCAGGCTTTTTAACGTTAATTGTTGAATGCTTTACTCATTTCATGAGTTTTATGTGGAAAACCATCTCCAACCACTCACTATTAATGTATATAAGTGACGACAACACTGGAACACTAGCTTACCATAGGTGCTTTCCCACTTATCAAATTGGAGTATGGGTACTCTGTTACCATGGATACTTTCAAATATATGGAAAATTTTAAAATGCTATCTTGCCTTTGTAGAACATGTTAATGATGAACAGTAATTATTTATGAGGGTAATTAAAAATTATGTGCTAGAATTATATAGAGTAAAAATCTGTCACTATAGTTAAAATGTTCTTATCACCTGTTTGTGATTAAAAACTGCCTCTGTTTAAATTTTTTATAGATGTTTCAGTTATAACTAGAGTAAATATAAATGTTTGAGAGAATGGGAAGAGTAATACTAATAAGGCATGATTTTTACTTTAGCATGAAGAATCTTAACAATTGAAATAAAATCAAAGCATTTTGCTTTGCTGATAGTTTTGTTTGCAGTCTTCTTTTATTATTAAGGATATATTTGACTAGTCTTAGATCTTGAGAGTTATTTCTATTGTTGAGTAGGAAAGCTTAGAAAATATAAAGAGTAATTCAGCTGTCAACGTTTCAAACGTAGAGGTGCAATCTGAAATTATACGTAATGTGTTATACCAATTGAGCTTACACATAAAATTCTGTTTCATGCTGCAGAAACTATGGTAGAGATTTGATATAATTTTCTCTATGTGTCACAATTACTGGTTATAAAACAAGTATATCAGATGCTGTCCCTGAAAGTACAGGTTGGAATTCCTTAAGCATTTTTGTTCTGAAATATATTATCAACTTTGAAATAGAAAATTGCTGGTCTAATAAATACACAGGAACTTCTGCAACTAATTCTGCCATACAACCTCTGCTTAAGTTCCATACATTCAGTAGACTGTTTGACAGTTGCATGAGGATGATAGTATGTTTGATAATGTTAACCTCTTATCTGATGCTGGGTCTTTGTTTAGGGATGCCACTTCCAGTATAGCATTTCCATTTAAAAAATAAATTCTGGCCAGGGAGATGGCTCAGTAGTATAGAGTCTGAATTCAATCCCTGATTAAATAAA